AACCTATCAAAGGAATCCCCTTACGACCAGCTGCTATAAACCAGTCATAAAAAATTTTCCAATTTTGGTACCATCGCCCATCAAAAAGCTACTATTTTCATTCAAATTGCTGTTCGACGTACTTTTTTTTAGAAGGATTCCTTTATGTTTAATTATACCTGCAGCTTGTGTTTTTCCAATCATTAAAATGCTTGAACAAGTTCCTCTTACACTTAACTTCTCATTGTGAACTTCAATTTCAAGTAGGTCAAATCACCAGTAGGTCAAACGCCCAACAATAATCGTTATAAACAATGTACAAATGTGATAACTAATTCTATGCTTAATTTTTTAAAAGATAAATGCGGAAATAGAGAAGCATTGCGAGAAACTCTCCGCGGAAATAGCGAATCTCCAAGCGATGAACGAGTCTCTTCAAAACGAGAACGTCACTCTGACCGTGAGCGTTTCGACTCTGCAATCTCAAATCAACTCGTTGCAGACCCAACAGACCGCTTTGCAATTGGCTAATAGCCAACTAGTGGCCGAAAAGGACGAGGTAAGTTTCCGAAATTATATTTCCAACTTTTTGTACATGTTTATTTTTTCAGCTGATGAAAAAGCAGCAGATCCAAAATACGCAGCACGACACTCTGCTCTTGGACCAAATGACTTTGAGGTCGCTTCACGAACAGCTGAGTACCGAATACGAACAGGCGAAAAACGAACAGGAGAATCTCAAAAAGGTGTCGAGAGATTTGCGGTCGGAGATCAGGAACATGAAAGAGAAGAATAACTCTTTGCAGAGCAGAATAGCGAATTTGGAAATCGAAAAGGAGACATTGAAAAACGAAACGAAGAATTTGGCGCATTTGAAAGGGGAACACGTGAAACTAAAAGTTAGTAAATGTTTTTTCGTTTAGATTCGGGCGATCATTTGTTTTTGTTATTTTTAGGACGATTTCCGAAATTTGTTCACCGCCAGCGATAGGATGAAACAAGAATACAAGGCTGTTCAGGAGGAATTGAAAAACCTCAAAATCGAGTCGAGGAATCTTAGATTGGGACAGACGGAAATGCAAGGGGAACTCAACTCTAGATCGGACAGAATGGCGGGGCTTCAGTTGGAAAATGCAAAGCTACAGCAAAAATGTGATGTAAGTAATAAACTCAGCAGTGAAATTTGAAGTAAAAGCAGGGTGTGATCTCCATAGTTGCAGATGTCCCATTGCCGAATCACTGGTCAACAAAATTTTAACTTTGTCCTGCCACACGGACTGTTTTGATATTTTTACTTTAATTGGTGGTTGTAAGAAAAAATAAACAGTTAAAAAAAATTTGCTAGACAAGAGGGATTTTATTATTATGAGTAACTTTAAAAATATTAAGAAAAAACACAGATCTCGTAAATCAAAAGTTTTTTTTTATAATGACTTAATATCTAAGATTTTCTTGAATATTTAGCTTCTGGTCCATTGTCCAGCAGTAATCTGCTAACATATTTGGGCTCCATTTGCCCTGGTACCGCTTTTCATATTAGAAATGTCCTGATGGAACCTCTCACCGTGCTCGTCGCTGACAGCCCCTAAATTGTCAGGAAAAAAAATCCAGGTGCGAGTCTAAAAAATGGATCTTAAGTGACATGTTGCAAACCCAATGCTTGATATGACAATAATAGCTCGCTAACCACTCTCTGTAGCTGTCACTCTTGGGGGTTACCCAAAAATTTGAAACAACATTTTTAAAAGCCTTCCATGCAGATGTTTCTAAATCGCTTAATTTTTCTTCAAATCTTGAATCTTTCATTAACTCTCTAATTTGAGGGGCCAACAAAAATACCCTCTTTTATCTTTGCATCACTTATTTTACGGAATTTTCTTTTAGATACAAAAATCCACTCCCATTTGCGATCCATTGCCTTCACAAAATTTTGTATTAATCCTAATTTGATATGCAATGGTGGTAGAAGCACATTATTTGGCTGTACAAGGGGTAAAATACTTTTACGTTTTTTGCCCAGGAACTAACGATGCACGCGTAGGCCATGTTTTTTTATATAGTGATTAGTTCTGTCTCGGCTATCCCATTCACATAAAAAGCAGCAAAACTTTGTATAACCCAGCTGAAGTCCAAGTAATAGTGCAACAACTTCAAGATCACCGCAGATTTTGAAGGAATATGTACTGTAATTTATTTTTCAAGTAAAAGTTTCATATTTTCATAGGTTTCTTTCATATTTGCAGCATGGGCCAGAGGTACAGACGGAAGCTTATTTCCATTATGCAATAACACTGCTTTTAGACTTGCTTTCGAAGAATCAATGAATAAACGCCACTGAGAGAGATCAAAATCTATGTCCAACATTTTCATAATCTCATTTATGTTATTGAAAAACACCAAATCTCAATCCTGAGAAAAATACGTTCTGAAGTGTTGATCACGGTTTCGAAAATAGCTAACTTTTGTATTATGATGTAGCAAATTCCATTCTTTTAGACGTGATCCTAATAGTTCTGACTGCTTTTTTGACAAATTTAAATCCCGAACCAAATCATTTAGGTCTCCTTGAGTTATCAAATGTGGATCGTTTACAATTCCTTTTAACTCAAAGTCATCGTCCTCGTCAACACATTCACCTGAAGTGGACGGTTGTGAATTGTTCTCAACAGACGTAGTTGCAACTGGTATTAGTTCTGGCAATTTTTACAATGAGAGACTGGTCTTATAGCCGAAGATAAGTTAGGGTAAATAACTGTGGTTTTTTTCTTGTAATTTATACCTTTTATGTCTGTGAGACAAAAATAGCAATCTGAAACGTGATCTCGCTGTTCAGTCCATATCATGGGTACAGCAAACGGCATAGGTCGTGCACCTTTCTTCCAGTCAGTTAAATTTTTCACACACGTTATGCAACAGACATGAGGGGCCCAGGATTTGTCTTGATGGGCGACAGAAAAACCAAAACATTGGTGATAACACTCCAACACAAGATTCGTAAAATTTCGTCGTTGTTTTTTGAATGTTAGTTCTCCGCAGACATAACAAAAAGAGTTAGGATCATTATTACACTTCCTCGACATATTCACAGGGTTAATAAATCACAAAAAAGTGTTCAAATTCAACAACAAATATTTTTATAAGGATTTACTTGTAAGCGTTTCTGTTAATTTACTGCCGTAGTACTAGTTATGAGTATTACCGTATCACAACAAATATGAGGCTAATAGACATATGACAGCTGTCATGTAATAATGAGGGTAGACTGATAAAACAAAATTAGCTGTCAAAGTTCGTGTGGCAAAACCAGTGTTATCGATACCAGAAAAGTGGAACTTTACAGGCGGTCTTTAAAATTTATTTATATAATTGAATCAGTTAAAAATAAGTACAGCAGACGCTCGATAACGTAAACACGGGATAATGTAAACTTGCGCTAATGTAAACACAAACTTCGTTCTATAGGATCAAACGGAACGCGCGATAACGTAAACAACTCTCGGCGCACGGAAACAGCGCGACGGTAAAATGCTGAAGCCTCGATGATTTATGTCGGGCGACGGGGAGTCCCCGATTTATCATGTAGAGTGTAGGGGATTCACCTCTGCGATAAAATACGACAAACTCGGTCAGTCGTATGATCGTTTAGGATACGTTTATACGTACGTATGTATTTCATTTTTGAACTTAAGTGAATACATTGCACGCGTTAATATATTTTACGACTATGGCATCCACATCCTATAAAAGAAAGTGTTTAAAGTTGAGTGAGAAAGTGAAAATCATAGACGAAGTTGCACTAGTGTGACACAGTTAGCAAAAAATATGGAGTATCGAAAGCAACAATCTGTAAAATTAAGCGTATGAAAACTCAAATTTTACAAAGAACGTGCAATACATTTGGAAGTCCGGGAAAAAGAAAAACTTAAAAAAAAGCGAAGGAACCTAAAATGGAAAATTCCCTGTATAAGTGGTTTTTAAATCAACGGGAAAATCATGTTCCAGTTAGAGGCGAAGTACTTAAACAGAGAGCGAGACTGTTAAATGACAAACTGAAAGAAACTGAAAATTTCGTAGCTAGTGATGGCTGGCTACGAAGATTCAAAACAAGATATGGAATTCGACTGCTGTCTATATCTGGTGAAAAATTATCAGCACAACCACAATTAGTGCAACCATTCAAAGAGAAATTGATGAAAACAATTACCGAGCTAGATTTAAGAATGGAACAAATTTACAACGCAGATGAAAGTGGCCTTTATTGGAAAATGTTACCAGAGAAAACCTATGCTGCATCATTTGAAAAATCTGCCCCGGGAAGAAAGTCGGAGAAACAACGAATAACGTTTCTAGTCTGCACTAATGCTAATGGTTCACACAAAATAAAGCCACTGGTAATTGGGAAAGCAAAAATTCCGTGCTCATTTAAAAATGTTAATATCCCTGTTGATTATGACTGTTCAAAAACCGCTTGGATGACTAGCAGTATATTCCTGAAACGGTTCTACAGGTGCATTGTCCCTCAGGTATGACAATCAATCACCACAAATGCTCTATTCATAATTTGAAGATGTGTTTTCAATTTGTAGGTAAAAGGTTTCCTAAAACAACAGAAGCTTCCAATAAAAGCGTTGTTACTATTGGATAATGCAACAAGTCATCCTCCCGAGCAACAACTGAGGAGCAGGGATGGGTCAATTTTCGTCATGTACGTAACACCGTTAATTCAACCGATGGACCAGAATATAATAAGACTCACCAAACTATACTATAGGAAGTTTCTACTTTCGTCTGTCTTATCAAAGAATCCTGAAAACTTATCTGAGGCTTTAAAAAAAGTAACATTACGAGAAGCTGTTTTACATTTACATATGGCCTGGAATGAACTTAACCAGCAATCTATTCAAAAATGTTGGAACAATCTCTTTTGTACCAATAATGAAGATGATGAAGACGACGATGTCCCCTTAAGCGTAATTAGAGAACGTTTGCGATCCAATAATGATAATGTTATTAGTGTGTCATTGGATGTTGTTGATTTATTGAAAACATTGTTTGTACTCCTGCTGATATTAATTTATGGAACGAAGATAAGCAGACGAATGATGCTGATAAGGAGGAGGATATGGACAGTGAGGATGATGAGAACGATCCCATTGAAGTCAGAAGTGTAGTGACTGACGCGCAAGCTATACAAGTTTTTAACCAAGCTTTAGATTGGGCTGAAAGAAAAGAAGTTTCATACACGGATATTTTAGTTCTTCGTAAATTACGGGCGCAGGCATTGGAAGACAATGCTAAGCGCAAATTTACGCAGACAAAAATTGTTAATTATTTTTCTTCTAATTAAAAAAATACTTAACGCTGTTAGAATATTTGTTTGTTATAAATAGTATGTATTAAACGTTTCTTTTAATAAATCAAATATTATATAAATCACGTTCGCTAATGTAAACATTTCGATAATGTGAACCACACTTGGATTAAATTAGTTTACATTATCGAGCGTCTGCTGTAGTTTCACTAATCTACAGTGATTTTCCAAGTTTACATAGTATTTGTATTATTAATAATAATAAACGACTTTATTGGCGGAGTATAGCTAAGCTATTCTTACTTACTTAATCAACCGTACTATAACTAAAGCTTAATACTAATTTGACATACAAATATGATATTCTTACGAATACGATTGTATCTCTATGAAACTTTAAACATAAAGAAAAAAAATTGAATCGTAATAGATCACATGGTTTACAACCAAAGGACATTTATTCATTTGAATTTGATTAGTATCAGGAAGATGTTTAGAAACAAAAACGTGTCTTTTTGATACAGTTTTTTTGCCAATTCTGACTGTTATTAACACGATTTCGTTTTCAGATGCTTTTCGAGATGAACCATTCATTAGATTCTGATAGAAGAGCCCTTATGGATCATGTTTCTCAGCTACTATCACAATACCATTCGCTTCTGACTCATTCTTTGGAAGACAAGCAACACTACCATATCGAAGAGAAATTGTACACTGATAAATTGAATAACTTGTGCAGGCAGAAAGAAAAGCTCGAGGAGAAAATTATGGAACATTATAGGAAGTTGGATAACGCTTCATCCAAAAAGTGAGTCTTTAAGTCCTATTTTGGCTTCTTTTGAAAATTTGCTTGATCTAGCGGTCGCCAAAAAAACGCTTGATTTGGTAGAATTTGGAATCGGAAAATGTTTGTCAAGAAAACAGACCGTTCAAAAATACAGTTTTTTAAACCTAAAATTTCTAATTTCAGAAAGGGATTCGGAGCAACTTTGGTGCGGCGAGTCAGAAAGGCGGGATCGGATATAATAAACAAAGTGCCAAGCAGGGTAAGTTTCGTTTTTGTTTTATTTTAGAACTTTGTATTAAAAACACCAAAAATCTTTTGGTGACAGGATATCCAAAAGAATTTTCTCATTTTCGACCTATAAGTATTCTACCTACCTTTTCGAGAATATTGGAAAAAAATCGTAGCTTTCCAAGTTCAAACATTTATTACATCTAATAATACACTTCTTACTACACAATCGGGCTTTCGCTCTGGCCATAGTACTACAACCGCACTTAATAATAATAATAATAGACGTCTTTATTTATCCACAATTACATTGTAGTATAGCCAAATGTCAGACTTACATGGCGAAGTTTTGCATGCTGCTACTCTTACACTTAACCGTATAGTCTCTAGCAGATGTTCAAAAGGATACACTATCCACAAACAGATTTGGTTCATTACATCGAAAGTAAAATTTAAAAAAAGAGAAAAAGGCATACTTTCCAAACCCAAATGCACCGAAAAATTATTAATCTGAATTAAAGATGGAATAAAAAAATAATAATAATAATATTTATTCACTCAATGTACAAAGATAACAAACAATATGAGTAAATAAATATAAAATCAAAACAGGCCCAAATAGAAGGCATCGCCTGTACATGGACCAATAAATTTAAGTTGAAACTGTAGAATGCAAATGACAAAAAAGGACAAAAATTAGCTACAGTAGATTATGTATTTAGTTGATGTTCGTATTTATGAGTTTATGAATTTCAGTCCTAGATATAGAATGTAGCGACTTTTTTAAATTTCTTTTGAAACAGTTTCCGGAACGTAAATCTTTTAAGTCTTTAGTTATAATTTCATAAAATTTAGGCGCTAAATAGAGATATGATCGCTGCATTATAGATTTATGCGGTTGAGGAACTACTGTGCCACGAATTTTGTACCTGGTATAATGATTATGTTTAATTTTTTGGTCGGTGTTTACAAATTTATGGTAGTGAGTGATACTGTGTAAGAAATAAAGCCGTCTTATATCATACATTCGAACATCTGCGTATAATTTTTCAGTGGGATAAACTTTCGGTTTTTTAAATATCATTTTTAGAATACTTTTTGAAAAACATCTAAATTATAGATATGTGAGGAACATGCAGCTCCCCATGCTAATATACCATATGTGAGATGAGGCTCAATCAGTGCATGGTATAATGTTCGAAGATATTTTTCTGTCAATATATTCCCAAGGTATTTAATTTTGTAGGATACAAATCTAACTTTTTTTAAAATATAATTGACATGGATGTCCCATCGTAAGTGAGGATCCAAGACCACTCCAAGGTATTTCATGTTGGGCACTCTATTAATTTGCATTTTTTGATCATTAATATTGAAGGAGAAATTTGTGTAATTTGGCAGATGTCTAGCATAAGATCCAAATGGTAAAAAATGTGTTTTAGAGTAGTTAATGCTTAATTTTCTACTGTTAAACCACCGAATAATTTTGATAAAATCATTTTCAATTACATTTTTCAGATGAGACCAGTCAGTGCCTTCATATAATATTGCAGTATCATCTGCAAAACTAGTTAGTTTGCCAACACAATTAATTTGGAAAATATCATTTAAATATAAATTGAATAACAGCGGACCTAAGACAGTTCCTTGTGGGACACCACACTTAATATACATTTCTTTACTAAATGATCCTGATATCTGCACAGATTGTGGGCGATTTGACAAATAACTTTCGATCAGTGAGTACGCGTTTCCTCTGAAACCGATTCTCTCCAATGCTTCTAATAATAATTTGTGATTAACTGTGTCGAAAGCTTTCTTTAAATCAACAAAAATGCAGATTGAAGGGATTCTGTTATCAATATTTTGATGTATTTGATTTACAATTTTAGTTATTGCGTCCGATGTAGCCTTCCCTTCTGTAAATCCATATTGATTTTCACTTAAAATTTTGAATTTTGTGAGGTATCGAATCATTCTAGTAGATAAAACTTTTTCAAAAACCTTTGCTACACTGGATATTATTGATATTGGTCTATAGTTGTTAACATCTGTTTTTGTTCCTGATTTATGTATCGGTATTATATTACCTTTTTTTTAAATTGAGGGATATATGCCAGATTCAAAGCATTTGTTGATTAGGTAAGTGAGTGGTTCTGTTATGTCCTCAGCTGTAATTTTCAAATGCTCGCTTTTAATACCATCGAACCCAGGACTTTTCCGATTTTTTAAGGACATAACAGTGGCGTATACTTCACATTGCTCGACTTTATCCAAAATAAATGAGTTCAAAGTTCTTTTTGGAGGCTGAGTATTTTGTACATTTGCTTGTATATTACTTGCTAAATTTTCGCCTATGTCAGTAAAGAATTGTACAAATTCATCGCATATCTGTTGAGTATTTTTTAATACTGTTCCCGATGTTGTATTTAACTCAGTGACACACTGTTTAACTTTTGTTTTCCCAGTAATCTCATCAATAGTTGTCCAAAGCCGCTTTGGATCACTTAAGTTATTATTCAATTTATTTAGGTAATGTTTTCGTTTGGTTTGCCTTACAAGCTCTATAAATTTATTTTTATATTGGTTGTAGCAGTCGGTATTCTCTGTAGTTGGTGTTAGTTTCATTACATTATATAGTCTTTCTTTTTCTATTGCCGATGTTATTAATCCTTTGGTAATCCAGGCATTTCTGCTATTCTCTTTGTGACTAATTATTACTTTATTGGTACTAATATCTATTAGGTTTTTTATTTTCTCTATGAACAGTCCCGTTGCTTTGTCTATATTATTTATAGAGTATATATATAAAAATGAATGATTACATAAATTATATGTTTGGAGGGTTGAGCAATAATGTTTTAACTTTTTGTCGAAAGACAGGTAATGAAAATTCTTTATATACTTTAGGAAGGTCATTATAAATAATAGTAACATTGTAAGAAAAACTGCGTTTAAAAAGTGTAGACGTATGCAGGGGTATTCTAATATTATTTTCTCTGAGAGTTCTACAGTGAACATCATTATTAAATGAAATTTTTTTCTTCAAGTAATAACGTTTAGACGTAAGCAGCAATTTGTTAACAAAAACTGAATAGTGATACTTGACCATGTCATTAATTTTTAACCAGTTTAGAACGGGATATTTCGCTGATACATGATCAAATTAACGTAAGCCAAAAATGAATCGTATACAATTGTTTTGAATAACTTGAATAACGTTTTTAGTGAAATTGTCTAAACAAGTATAGTATACGATATTACAATAATTTAGTATAGATATGACCAATGCTTCACATAGTTTTTTACGCATCTTAAAATTTAGTAAATACCTGTTTGCTATAAGAGTGCGCAGCCGTAGGTAGGTTTTCTGAGATAGACTTTTAACATGTTCAATAAACCTTAATTTTCTATCAAAAACAACACCAAGAGTTTTTGCAGAATCAGAAAATTGCAAGATTTGGTTATTTATCTGAATGTTCAAGAGCTGTGTTACATTGTATGTTTTTCTTTGTGCGCAAAATAATAACATTTTAGATTTTTGTGGATTAATAAGTAGATTGTGGTCTAAAGAGTATTTAATTAATTTATTAACATCGTTTTGTAAAATTTGAGTAGTATCTGGGTTAAAATAATGAAGCAATTGCGTATCGTCTGCAAATGACTGGACATGAGAATTATCAATACTTTTGCTTAAGTCGAACGTATATATGAGGAACAGAAGCGGCCCCAATACAGAGCCCTGAGGTACGCCTGAGGGAATTATTGCCACTTGAGACATTTCTTGATTGAGAAAAACACACTGAGTTCTTTGATGAAGGTAACTGTCGAAAAATGAAAGGGATGCACTGTCAAGACCTATGTAATTTAATTTAGCAAGTAAAAAGGCTTTCGAATAGTCTATAGAGATTAAGGCTAGTGCCATTTTCTTATCTAAGGCACTTAAAATATTGTCTTGCAGATTAAGTAGGGCAGATGTTGTACTATAATTTTTTCTAAATCCGGATTGAGTGTCGGGAAGTATAAAGAATTTTTCGAGGTAAGCGGTCAATTGGAACTTTATAATTTTTTCTAAAATTTTGGATAAAATTGGAAATAAACTGATAGGTCTGAGATCATTATACTCAGTGGGTTTAATTATTTTAGGAATTGGAATAATTAGCGCTTGTTTCCATGTGTTTGGAAAGTAGCCTTTTTCCAAACAGTCGTTAAAGATGTGGACGATGTGATGGAGAATAACTGGCAGGCAAAGCTGGATCATTGACAGGGATATACCATCAATTCCTTTCGCATCAGATTTTAGGCTCCCTATTGCCTGTAAAATACGTCATTTGAAATAATCTTATTTAATGAAAAAATATATTCAGAGCTTAATTTATTTTTGAAATAGTTTTCGCAAACTAGTGAATCAACAGGTTTGCAGCTATAAACAGACATAAAATAATCATTAATTTTGGTAGGGTCATTAAAACTTGCCGGAAGGGTTGGTTTACTACGAAAATGTATATCAAGTTGTTTGAGAGACTTCCACAATTTTTTTGAATCATTTTCATTTGCCAAATTTTCGATATATGTCTTTTTGTCCCTCCTGATCATCACTGGTCTATGCTTAAACCACGCGTAAACTTATGCCTTATCTCACTGCGTGACCACGATGCCACTGTCCGCACTTTACAATGTCAATACGAATGAACAACTAAATCAACAGACGTGTTGCTGGCAGCTACTATGCACTCATGGACGTGTCTCAACATGCAACCTCCTGCTTTCGTTTGTTAAATCATATTGCAATTTTTTTACAGTACCCTTTGTATTTCTACCGTACTTTTTTAGCAGAACCGCCGTTCCTGGCACGAAGACGCGGTCTCTCAAATGAGCCACTCCCAACTGACGCTGTTGCGAGACAGAAACATCCCGAACGCTCCCGGTTCCGGTGCGGACTCGAACTCGGACAACAGCGACAACACGGAAGACCAATCACCGCCGTCTATAAGCATGGTCGGCGGCGGGCCTTCCCCGTCTCCTTCCTCGCCCCACCACTCGCCTTTCCGAAGCAGAAACGCCCCTAGCGGGGGGAGCTTACACGGGATCAAGCCGAGAGATGAAGTTGCTTTGTTACGGAGGACGGGGTTGAGGGATACTTTGCCGCATAGGAACAGCATAGCTGGGGATCAGGTAAGGCTGTTTGTTGTTTGTTGAAGATTTATTTAGCGTTAATGCTGCAAAGTTATTTTTGTATAATGAATTGTTTACGCGTTTTTTTGAATCAATTTTCTGTTATTTTACATTCTTGGCTATTAAAATTACATTACTAGGCATTTTGAGTGATTTTTTAATTTCACCTTAAACATTTACAAATTCGAAAACTGTTTAATATAAATAAAATAAGTGTTCATTCTTTCTGCTGCAACTATTGACTCGCACTGTTAAACGTGGGCGTCGCTTCAAGTCATTTTGCTCATATCTCACCTGCTATCGTTGCAAGCTCTCAGTTTTCTCGTTCAAGAACGTACATTCTTCTTTTCTCAGGTATTGGCTCATCATCGCGGTGCATCCGGCGACCTGTCCGGCCTGGGCTCCGTAGGGTCGCGTCGCACGGTGTACCTGTCTGAAGACGACGCCGTAGCTGCACCACCTTCCATCCCGGCACCCGGTGATCCCGTTGACGCTGCGCTAGAGGAACCCGCACCGGAATCCCAGATGCAAAAGCCGCCGCTTTTAGTATACAATCGAGTTTCCACGACCATTGGGCAGATACAGGATACGCAGTCGCAAAGGAAGGACGAGGAACAACAGGAGAAAGAAACTGGTAAGGATTTTTTTTACAGGGAGGCCCAACGAAAAGGTCGCACACGTCGATGGTGATTTCTATAGCCGTACAATACAGGGTGATCCAATAATAAGATATTACATTTTGGATTTTTAAATGGAAACCACATTTTTTAACTCTCAGACTTTCGTAAAACAAAACGAATGCAACGAATAGATAGAGCGGTAGACGCGCTTTAAAGTGATATATAAATTGTAAATAAATTTTAGTGTAAAATACATCATTTACTGTGTGTTAAAACAGCTATATCTAATTGGCTTTTAAATGAACTTAATTTTATGTTCAACAGTTGAAGAGAAGAAACCGACCAGTGGCAAGAAGGAGACGACCATTTGGTACGAGTATGGTTGCGTCTGAAAGTCATCTGGATATGATGAATGTTATGATAATTTGAATCTATCTGGAATGACTTATGATTCACGTGAAAAGTTGGAGATGTTTCAATGTCCAGATATATAGTTTTTTTGATATTGTACAGACCAGACACTTTTCAACAGCTATGAATATATGGCTAATGCACAATAATTTTCAATTGAGCTATGTGATATTTTGAAAAGTTTAGCGAAATTAGAGCTTTGATTGTCTGTTTTCTAGCAGGAATGTTGCAATATTACATAATCTTTAATAAGCAATTGAAAAATATAGAAAGCACTTGGTGATAATACAACGACTTACAAAAGTATTACCTGAATATGTAAATGCCATATATGTTTTCAAAATTGTTTTTAAATTTTCTTCAGATCAGTTTGTTTTATTCTTGTCTTTATGACTCAATCTCTGTTACAAATGTAACTTTCAGTATTTTATAAATCGTTAATTAAATTAACACCAGTGTTATTAGTAATTTTGGGGCCTTAGTACTTGTAATTTCGAGATCAGTATTTTTGAATTCTAGACTGTTATTTCCTGATTACACAATCTACCAATATCTTGAGGTTACCTAGTAGATGGTTTTTAATTTAGACGTGAACAAGTTTCCAGGGTCATTTGGCCAATTTTTCTTAATCAGCACCCACTTTTTTAACTAGGATTTACGTATTTATTTGATTTGTTAATATAGAGTAGAGCACTAACTATGTTTTATATTACATCCAACTTGTATGCCTTATTATTAGCAAGTTGCGGGTCTATTTATACAGAAATGTATATTTTGTACTTTTTTATGCTTCACTATGAAATTTTATTATATAAATTGGTTTTAAAGTATTACTGGGCTTTTTATTTCAATCCTAAGAAATGTTCCAACCATGAAATTACTGTAAAAAGACTTCGTAACAAGAAATTGAAGCACACAATGTTTGGTTCTGCCACTGTCTCGTAGATGGCGCGAGTATCTTCAATGCCTGTTTTGGCACCTCTGTAATGCCTATTTTGCGTATCTTCAGGAATTGATTGACATATCGACGATCTCGAATCAATACTTCGTAAGCCGGACGATTTGGTAGTTCCAATGGATCGCTATTCAGAATTTTAAATCAAAAGAGTACAGCTGGCAACACTGTTCGAGCATCAAATGTACATCGAGTATCCGGAATTCCTTGGCTCTTTCGGTCTGTCATGAATCATTAAACGTCAAATTCACGCAAAATGTAAACAATGTCCGATTTACCAAAATTATTTATTAATTTGAAACCTTGACAATGGAATTTATCAATTCCACACCGCTAGGAACATGTTTTGCCTATAAAATTATTTCATATATTAGTCTACATCCCTATCAAATAATTTGATGAAAATGTGTTTGGATACGATGTTTATTTTATTGACGGTAAATTGCAAACACGCTATATGTGTATATATTTTAACGAATTATTTAATTCCTAGTGTTTCGTATCTGTAAAGCCGCAGGAAGTGAACTTCAACGATTATCTTCTAGACTACAAAGAAGGAATTGTTACAAGCCAAAACTTTACATACTATTACATTTACCATTGGTCAAATATCTTGATAATTCTCAGAAGCAAGTAAGAGAATGTCGTTATTTAACATCGACGTTAGTTTATCATTATCCTATTTTTTTAGATCTGGAGATGCAGATATTTACATATCAGACTCTAATATGTTCCCTACATATGATGTTAAATCATACGATATTCATTCTGCCACTTGTGGACAAGAAGTGATTCAAATACATGAGGGGTATGCCTCTGAATATATAGCAGTTCTGAAAAATTGCTTTACATAATGTATTTTGCAGATTCAAAAGTCCAATAGCTGTTGGAATATACGGATATTTTCCTTATGGCAACAGTAGTTATATTTTGGAAGTGTATAGAGAACCCAAAAAGTATTCTCATGCAATAATTGATGACATGGTTCCTTCCGAAGTGGAAGGGGGCATAAGAAATGCTGAACAAGGTCCCCTACCAAAACCTCTAAAGAAAAAGTACAAAGATACAATCAAAACAAATAGTGTTTTTGCACTTCTTGAGGTTCTGCAACTGATGTTTCTGTGATTTTGTTTTATATAATATATAAATATATATATAATATATATAAATCGTTTTATTTCCATGTAATATTGTAATACAATAATTTTTGCATTTACTACGACATATTCTAATGGTATTTAAGGATAAGATACATCTTGGAATAGGTTCTTTGAAGAATTGGGTCTATTAATAGGAGTCACTTGGATTATTCCTTTTTAAGAGGCCAAATTTTAAACTCCCTGTATAGTATATACATTTTGTAGTGTCAATCACGCATCTCAGTTCATAGAACTGGACTGCCAGTCAGTCTGATATATGTCACTAACTGAATCTTTTTTGTTAAACTGATTCATACCGCACATCGCTACATTATCTGTCAAGTCAATAACGGTTATGTCATAACTGTCAATTAGGTTTATTTTGCAACCAATTTTTCAATATTATTTTTCTTCCCTACAAAATTATAGATATAAGCTGATATTGACTTAAAATGAATTCTTGCAAAGTGGCCGTTCCGGCAGACGATGGAGACGGAGACAACCGATGGCTTAGCATAGTAAGAAATATCTCTCGTAATTCACGTTTGGCAGATGATGGATTCACATTTAATTTTTTTTTAGCATAATCGGTTTCTGTCTGAAACCAGAGAAAAAGATGCTGACGTGATATTCATAGGCGACTCTATAATCCAAGCCATCCAGCATATGGACGTGTGGAACGAATTTTTCGCCCCATTGCATTGTTTAAACTTCGGGATACACAGGGACAAGATAGAGAACGTTCTCTGGAGGATTGAACGAGGGGAACTAGACAATATAAAACCTAAGGTGATAGTACTGCATGTCGGTACAAACAATTTTCAAAATACAGCTGAAGAAATAAGGGATGGAATTTTGAATTTGATAGATGTGGTTCGAGAGAAACATCCTGATGTTTACATTGTTGTTGCTGTAAGTTTTTATTACTAATATTTTGGTGATTGTGCAGTGAATGAGTGATCTAGTAAATTATAGTTTCTAATTCCTCGAAATAGAATCTGTCGATTCGTTTTCACTATTCCGATTCGTTTGATTTGTTCATGATTCCGATTTCGGCATTGTGGTAAAATCGTTCGATTCATTCAAGATTCCGATTTCAGACTCGAGATCGAATCGCTTTCACGATTTCGGTTCCGTCCTCAAAATCAAGTGCTTCGATTTGTTTACGATTCCGATTCTTGCCTCAGAACCGATTACGTTGATTCGTTCACGATTCCGATTCCAGCGTCGGAATCGAATCCGTTGAATCGTTCACGATTCCGATTCTTGCCTCAGAACCGATTCTGTTGATTCGTTCACGATTCCGATTCTTGCCTCCGAACCGGTTCCGTTGAATCGTTTACGATTCCGATTCTTGCCTCTGAACCGATTTCGTTGATTCGTTCACGATTCCGATTCTTGTCTCCGAACCGATTCGGTTGATTCGTTCACGATTTCGATTCTTGCCTCCGAAGAGATTCCGTTGATTCGTTCACGATTCCGCTTCTTGTCTCAGAACCGATTCCGTTGATTCGTTCACGATTCCGATTCTTGCCTCTGAACCGATTCCGTTGATTCGTTCACGATTCCGATTCTTGCCTCCGATCCGATTCAGTTGGTACGTTGACGATTCCGATTCCAGCGTCGGAATCGAATCCTTCGATTCATTCACGATTCCGATTCCAGTCTTGGAATTAAATCGGAATCGAATCTTTCGATTCATTCAGGATTTCGATTCTAGACTCGTAGTAAAAATAAAAAAACCCAATCCTAGATTCTAGACTGATACAATAGCGACATTTTGTATTCTTTCAGACGCTGCTTCCGAGAGGCCAACACCCGAACCCGGTGCGTGATAAGCTGTCCAAAGTGAACGATCTCTTGAAGGCCTCAATAAGCGGACCAAAAGTGCAATTGGTGCCGATCCATCAAGGTCTTATCCAGCAAGATGGGTCGATCAGTCACCACGATATGCACGACTACCTGTTGCTCACGAATGCAGGGGCTCGTAAGGTATTCGAACCTGTGCACGATTTGCTTTTGCAACTGTTGCAAGAGAACGAAGTTGAAAAAGATCTCACTCCATCTGAGTAACGTTGTATCAGGGATGATAGCTTCCAAAGTTGTTGGATCAGTGATAGTGTGTATTTGCTGAGATTATTAGCGACTAAGAAATGTCCGTTTTGTAGGGGATTTTGGGGTTTACGACTTTTCTTACGTCTTGGAATCATTGACTCGGTTTTTCAATATCTGGTTAACCTTTAAGTTTACATCTTTTTTTGATATCCCTTGTGTTTTAAACGATCCTACTAAAAAAAAAAATTAAAAATAGTGTTTTCATATTTTATTTAAGTAAAGATACTTTTCATCGGGCTGTTAAAGAAAAAGTGCAAATCCCAAAATAGACATTTTTCCTTTGATAAAAGAAACGTTTTCCTATATTGAATTGTGTGAAAGGTGAAAAGCGTAATGCTTCTGTGGTTTAGGATGTACTGCTTGCATTTTTGAAACTTTTGTATTGAATCGTACTTGATAACAAACACTTTGGCTGTTCACAGAAGAATTTATGACAGTGTTGATAAACCTAATAATAATAATTATAACTTTGCTCATTCCAAAATGAACTGATCAAACAATAAAGTTGTACTGTTAATTTGATACGTCTAGCTTTTGATACCAAAGCAATATTCACTATTTATTATTGATTCAATAAATTGATATACTCTTTTTAGGGTTACATAATATACAAAGTTAAACTGATTTTAGGTTAAATAACCAGTGGGAAATATGTTTGTGCATAATCTCTATTGAGATATTTCTACTATTGACATTAATCTGCCTCCATATTGTTTTTTGAGAATGATATAATAATAGTTAATCACAATTTAATTTTTCATAGGTTCAGTGTGATATCTGTTCCTGACTATTGAGAATATGTTAATTGCATTGAATCAAAGGCAGTTGCTCGTTCTGAAGGCATTATGTAGAATAAATCTATATAAGCTGTATTAAGGCATCAGGTTATTTTTATAACATTGCTGAAATATCATTGAAAATAGTTATCAATTTTTTCCTATTTTTTCTCCCAATTTTGTGTGATACTTAAAAGACTTAGTATAAGATACTTACTTTTTTTTTCAGCTAGGTTTAGTCATATGTCACATTCCACTATTTATTTACCAACTATTATTATGCTGTTGAAATACTTTGTTTTATTAGTATGTTTTTGTGTTGGATATGCAACATAAGCTTGTTATTTTTTCTTTTTGTAGTTGAATTTTGCTCACCATGTATGCAATTTGTACAAAAATAAAGTTTATAATTTGTGTATTGTGTTGTTTGATTTCGACTTACAGCAAAATAGTTATGAACGCAGAATTACGAAATTTCGAGCTTTTGAAGCTCTCTGAAACCTACTGTTTTTTTACTATGTCCAAAAATATCTAGAAACTTGAAGATTGATATTCTGGAATTATATATTTGTTTTTCGCTGTGGTAGCATCATTTACTGGCAGCTCAGTGTTTTTTTTGGAAAAACGCTCAGACCCGTCGATTTTGTTTTCGAGGGGGACACAAGTTTGGGAAAAAATCACGTTAACACGTGCAGCCCCCTGGGCGGGGGTGACACCACCCCCAAAATCTTAAATGGAAAGGGGGGCCGAGTGATACCTTATTTTAAAGGTCTTTTAGTTCCCTTTATAATGATGTAAAATACACGAGCTTCAGTTCAGTAGTTTTGAAGATTTATTGATTTAAAGCTTAAAGTAGACTTTAATAGGTACATCAGATTAGTTTGTACTACTTTCAGAAGAAACTTGACTAAAAGAAATTACTTAATAAGTAAATGCTTTTCTTCACTATGCCCATGGTTTGTTTATCATTTTGTTGTTGAAAATAGCTATTGGAGCGTTTTTTTGTGGCAAACAAGTCATTTCTTGAAGAAAGATAAGAAAATATCTCGTACTTATTTTAAATAGGAATTTAGTACATAGTTTCCGATTGGTTTGACCAAACTTTGTTGCTAAAATAACTTGTAACGCTTTATTACATAAATTAACCATGGTATATTCCACAGCAGAAACAGTTGAAATATCGAGATATTTTTCGGAAATAATCAGTGCGCTAATAGAACAGCAGAAATATTTAATGAGCGACATGAAAAACAGTAACGTGCATCGAAAATATGTTGTAGAACTTGTAGCTAAATTTCGAGAAACTGGGTCAGTCGCCAATAAAAAACGCAACATTGAAAATCCCATAAGGAACGAAGCAATAGAAGTGGGGGCTTTAGGGCAAGTTTATATAGATCCTACGTTAGATTTTTTGATATTTTGGACCACTGCCGTGTAAAATCTTAGCGTTTTTTGTTTACTACTCATATCGTTTATCTAAATTTGGCAAAATATTTGTGTTATTGTATGGTTTTCAGTACGAATCTTTGGTTCGATCAGTTGTATCAGTCTTTTAATAGTGCGTTTACTTTCATTTTTGTCTGATTATTTTCTGCGGAAAAATGGCCGATGTTTACAAAAAGAATGCCAACAAAATGCAGCGGCAGCATGCAGGTTGTATGCGCAAATGTTTCATTCGAGAGATCATCCGGCCCCACGTTCGTAAATTTAGTTTTAGTTACTTTATGGCTAAGTGTTAATAAAAGTATTTTGTATTGTAAGCAGTTTTATTGGGTTTATTTTACAATTTTCATCATTTTCTATCGTCAGGAGTAATACGATAATCATAGGCAACATCCAACATCTAAAAAACAAGATTCGAAAAGTAAAAATTGTCATCGGAAATTAGTCTTTTAAAAGTGACGGAAGAGGTCTCGATTTTATAAAAAGGTGAATGTAGTCACCATTCGATGTCGAAATTTGAATTTCAAAAAAAAGGTGGATGCTCCCGCTGTTACCTGCATTTTTTGTTCCCTACTCCATCTTTGGGCTACGCCTTTGGTCTGATGGCATCCAAGAAGTCCAAGAGACCGGTTTCCTAGACCCTCCGACAAAAACAGACACCGCCATACAGTGTTGCCGACGCTTTTGAAATTTTTCTTTATGCTCGCCCCCCATCAATGCATCGATTTTGAAAAAAAGCAGAGAAACTGCTGCCAGGAAAATTGAAGGTGAAATTTCACGATCGCACTAAACAATAAGCTGTAAAATGTGGATTATTTTTGAAATGTGCAAATCTAAGTTCCTATAACAAAATTTTTTGAGACCTTTTAAAATCCTTGGCATTCTCAGAACTTTTAAAATTTTGAAATTATCGGTATTTGGAATATTTTAAAAATGTCGAAAATCGTGCATATTTCGAAAATTTTGAAACTTTTCAAAATTTTGAAAACTTATTAAAGCGTCAAATGTGAATTTTAAATGCTCAACTGCGAATTCTTTTGGCTCTCGCATTAGTAGATGGCGGCAGATTGTTTTTTTTCCAATAATCTCATTAAAAAAAGGCGAAGAAACTGTTTTTCTCTTTCATTAGGTTGTGCAAAAAACCTAATCAGAATATGTTTCCGTGCAGATGCGAAGATACGTAATGAATGAGTGATCGCATCCAAATGACAGGTAGCATTCTGTTGTGAGACCGAGGAAACATTTTCATCAGTTCACAGAAAAACCGATAAATCTGGCAACGCCGCTTCTTCTCGCCGCCCGCGAGCGCTGCCGCGACCGCGCCACTTCTTCATTCTCCAACGGCCTTCGAGCCAATACTCTGGAATCGCGTAGGCCGCGACTCGAAACCGCATCGCGCAAACTCGCCGGTTGGAAAAACGCGCGCGAAAAACTTCGCGAAGCTTTCGGAACGACGCGAAAATGAGTGAAAATCTGTGCGTGAATGTGTAAAGAGTGTTTCATCTTTCATGGGAATGTACCGATCACTGGATATCGTCGGTTCTTCAGCGACATCAAAGTCGGCCGCTTTTGGTAGGTTAGAATTTTTGAATGGTGCCGTGAGGGACCGGTTCGGTTTTCGGTTGAATGGATTTTGTACTCTTATCGAGCTTGCTGTGGAAATATTTTTGTGCAGGATTTTAGTAGGCTTTTAAAAGTTCTACGTTTTTAGGAATAAAACAATAAACGCTTCTGTTTAATAGTTTGTAAATAGAAAACATTAGAAATCGAGACAGGGGCGGCTGGCCCTTATGTTCTGCAGAAGTGCCAAAACTTTTGTCTTAACAGAAAAAAAAAACAGTAGTAATTTGAGCATTATAATCGACCAGTTGTGTACTTGTCATTTTCGTTGCGACCGCAGCGTAACATTAGTCATGGGCCACTTGAAAAGGGTCTGTGCACTACTTCGACACAAGCCGCATCCGCTTGCTTTTGTCTCTCTCTACAAAATCGAATGCGCCATTTAAGCATCAGCATGTGCTGCACGTTATACAGATCAGTACAGATCTAATGCGAAGTACGATATCTGATTGGTCGGTAGGTGCTCGGTCCTCGGTATCGGCATATAAAAAATTTGTATTCAGGTATTTTGGGTCTTACGTTGAGTGACTAGTAACTCATTGTGGCTGTGTAGAAGGGTAGTAGAAGACAATGGATGTGGTTTACGGACTTACCAGCGTGAAACGATTCTGGAAATACACATTTGAAGAAAAAATTGAGCTGAAGGTGTCAGGTCGACCGCTGCCGGACATATTCATAGAAACACAGGGCGTTAGTCGGGGCAAGGGCTATAAAGCGGCATTTCAGCAGCGAGATTTACACCAGAAATGACTGGATTTGTGGGTGCAACAGGAAGAATGCCCTTTTCTGCTTTCCTTGCTTACTTTTCGGTGGCGAAAAAGCTTGGACGGAGGTAGGCGTTACAGATTTAGTGCACCTGAGTGAAAAAATTAAGAAGCACGAAAACTCTAAAACACATCTTCATAATTCGATGGAATTGGCTTTATTGGGGACTGTTAACATCAGAGCTCAGTTAGATTCAGCATATTGGAGAAATATACAACAGCATAATGATACCGTTACAAAAAACAGGTACGTTCTATCAAAAATAATCGATTGTATAAAATTTTGCGGAGCATTTGAATTGGCGCTACGGGGTCACGACGAAACCGAGAGCTCCCAAAACCCAGGATTATTTCGTGGACTGATTAATTTTTCTGCTCAGCTTGATACAACCTTAAGCGAACACATCAAAAATGCTTCAATATTTGAAGGAACTTCGAAAGAAATACAAAACGATCTACTGGATTGTATTCTCGAAGTTTGTCATGAAGAAATAATAAATCAGATTAACAGAGCCTCGTATTTGGCGATAATAGCAGATGAAACAATGGGGAAAACCCAACTGGTAACAATTTTCAGATACGTATTTAACGGCGAACCAGTAGAACGTTTGTGGAATTATATGAATCCCGAAAAATGTGACGCTGATACTCTCACAAGACATATTTTGAGCATCGTAGATCCATTAATAGGAAATTGCCCTAACAAACTGATTTCACAAAGCTATCATGGAGCCGCGGTAATGAGCGGACATAATGCTGGAGTACAGGCAAGAATTAAACAAAGATATCCATTTGCTCACTATGTGCATTGCTATGCACACCAGTTAAACCTGATTATGTCCCAAGCTGCTTCCGAAAATGCTCAAGTTCGGGTGTTCTTTGGCGATTTGAAAGATATTCCGGGATTTTTTAATAATTCTCCTCAACGCGTAGAGGTACTGAACAGAATTGTGGGGAAAAAAATTCCCCAAGGAGCAACAACTCCTTGGAATTTTAATATTCGAACAATAAATGTAGTGTTTGAGAACAGAGAATCGCTCATTGAATGCATGGAAGAAATAGAAGAACATTTCACTAATGAAACCGTTTGCAAGGCAGCTTGCGGTATTCGCCGTATGTTAAACGATTCTGTTTTCGTGTTTTGGTTGACATTTTTTCATCATGTCATGCCTCACGTCGACATCTTGTCCGACCAGTTGCAGAAGAGAAAAACCGAGCCAGCGCAAGTTAAAACGGCTATCGATAATTTTGAAAAATGTATTGTCGATGTGAGAAATACAATTGACATAATAAATGAAGCCAAAAGTATTTGCACCGAACCCCATGGCAACAAAAGGAGGCGACGTAATAATAGCAGTCACGATCACCGAGTTGCCGCATTAGAAGTATGCGACAATATAGTGAATTCTGCAAATGACAGGTTTCAATTCAAAGATCATTTGGTAGCCGCATCCCTTTTTTCACCCGAACACTTCGGAGAATACTGTGGTAAATTTCCCGATGACAAGTTGGAAACTACCTGCTTGGCTTATCCCGAATTAGAAAAAAGTCGTTTAAAGACAGAGTTGTCTGTTATTTATGCACGGAATGATTGCCGAGATTTACATGGAACTCTGTATCTTTTGAAATTTTTAATACACAATACTTTGGAGGAAACATTAAAAGAAACGAAAAAGCTATTAGAAATTATTGTTACAACTCCTATGTCAACATCAGAGGCTGAGCGAAATTTCTCAACGTTGAATAGAATCGAGACTTTTCTTCGTAATACTATGACCCAGGATCGCCTTACAGCGTTGTCGATGCTGTCCATTGAAAAGGAATTTATTTCGAACATGGAAAATTTCAACGGGAAGGTGATCGACAAGTATGCTGCCAAGAAGGAGCGCAGCATCGAACTGACGTATAAAAAATAGGTAAGTTCGGATTTGCAGGACACCTGTTTTATGTTGCCACGAGCCGCCACTGATCGAGAGTAAGCTTTTGTTTTCGTCTGGAACCAAAAACCAAAGCAGTTGCATATTGGTCATGGTGACTAAGTAGATCATCGATGCTTTCGAATCAAATCACAAAGCAAACAAGACGAAAAGCTTGAACAAAGCAAAAAGCTCTAGTAATTTCAAATTCAAAGCTGCCGATTTCTGCATCTTGTGCTGCTTTTCACCGAAAAATGATTGTAGCTATCATCATATTCCACGGAAAGTTACTGGTATCGGTTTAGTTTGTTGTAATACTCTTTGTTTTTGTTGGATACTTAAAACAACAATTTTGTCAAAGTCGAAACATTCGGTCAACCAATTTTTGAAACAATACACGCATACGTTGATGAACTGTTAAATCAAACAAAGCAGAAACCCCTAAAGCTTAATAAAAGCGTTGAAAGGTGCCAGGGGGAGCTGAAAATCCAGTCGGCACCTTAACTTTTGCATTTTGCTATGCCAAAACTGGCGAGAAAGTATTTTAATCGTGAAACATTTCGAAATTGAGATATTGTGTTTTTGGATGTTAAGTGACATGTGGGTTTTGATTCAGTGTTCACCCAATGTTACTACCTAGTATGTCCAGGATGAAAAAGCTTTGTATTGTTTGAAAATTTCCAAGATATTGAGTGACAATAACATCCAAAGAACATATCTCATTTTCGAAAACTTTCGAAACTACAATACTTCCCAGCCAATAGGCCAAAGGTAAAATATACTAAATGGAATTATTTTAATAAAATTTTGTATAAGTACTTAATGAAGCATAATAAGTAAATGATAAAAATTTCAAAATGATTGCACTGCTTTAAAGCTCTTTGACCTTTAATAATGTGTGGATGCACCCTGATGTGCTACGCATTCTCCAACGCGCCTAGGCATGCTTCTGATCAGGTGGTCAATGTCCTCCTGTGGTATCTCATTCCAGGCAACCACCAACTCCTCTCGAAGTGCTTCTAGAGTCTGAGGAGGACGTTGCAAATTGAGCAATCTCCTACCCATCATATCCCACACGTGCGCAATTGGGGATAAGTCGGGAGATCTTGGTGGCCATGGTAACAATGTGACATCATTATGTTGAAAGAAGTCTATTGTGACTCTTGCAACATGTGGTCGGGCATTATCTTGTTGGAAAGTTGGATCTGCCATGGTGTCAAGATAGGGTAAAAGATGGGGTTCTAAAACTTCGTGGATAGAACGCTGCGCGTTCATGTTACCTCTGATGACGATTAAAGGTGACCTGGAACCATAAGCTATAGCACCCCAAACCATAACATCAACAGTGTGATGAACATGTCTTTCAACAAAAAACTGTGGATTCCTCCTTTCACCACGTCGCCTTCTAACCCTGGCACGAACATCGTGCATGCCTAAACAAAATCGAGACTCGTCACTAAAGACAATACTGTTCCATTCCTGATCACAGAGTGACCGTTGTCTGCACCACTCAAGGCGATTACGTCGGTGTTCTCGAGTTACAGGGAGGACCCAGTGTGGCCGGTATGAAAACAAGCCAAAACTTCTCATTCGTCGGTAAACACTTCGCATGCCAATAGGTCTTCCGTGTTCTGCAAACCATTCATTTGCAATGGACCTGGTAGTGGAGAAACGGTCCCTTAAGGCCAATAATCTTAGGCGGCGATCTTCACGGTCTGTTGTTCTACGGCGGCGTCCAGTGCCCCTTTGCTCTTTGCGTACGGCCTTCTCGAAGCCATGCCTGACAACACCTAACCACAGTGTCTACACTTCTTTGCACTCTAACTGCAATTGCCCGAAAAGAAAGTCCAGCTTCTCCTATACGGCCCCTATCAAACTCACTAAGTTGACGAAATCGTACAGGTCTCCGTAGTCTAGGCATCGTAACCGATCGTAAAGGATGTCAAGAACCAAAATCCGCCAACGTTGATTCTTTACTGCGGCTGAAATATTCATTTTTAGAGCGTTAGTGAATTAAAAAAAAGCAGTATAAAAACCGGAATGTCCAACTGATAAGGCTGAAAATTTTTTCACTTGTTATTTACAGTAAGATAGATACATTCGCCAACTTTTATTAAAATAAAACCCTTTAAACTGGGTGTTCGGATTTATATGTCACTTAGTATATATATGATTCTGATCTGCATTGAAATCGCGAAGCACAGTGGTCCAAAGTACCATCAACATTCAAGGTTAAATATCCCAGCACACATGATAATGAGAAAATGATTACCTAGACCTACCTTGTTGTGATAATACCATAATACCAATGCAAGGTTGTACAGTAACTAAATTATTCTTTTAACAATTTCATGTGTTCATTGATCCATAGTCATCCTGCTTTTTCTGTTTCATGTTTTCAACACAGCTAATACGGAAATAGGTAATAAAACTTTACAATAGAAAAAATAAAATTATCCATCATGGGTATATGGGTATTACGAGCTTAATTTCCTGTGGAACCTTGAACGGGTTATCTACCTGCCCGACTCGGTACCTATTGAAAGATAAGCTCACAAAAAGTACCTAATCAATAGCGCGCTATCGACACTATAAATCGAGCATGGCAGTTCAAGAACCCATGGAAATATGTAGGCGTGAAATTTTGTAATAACATACGTGTACGGAATTTAAAATTGTTCAGTGTGCAGCGTATTCGTGCTATACTAAAAATAAAATTTGTTATTTATATTTACGGTATCAGTTTGAAAGTAGGAGAATGTTGATATAAATAATCAATCGGGTAAAGTGTTGCAATAAGACGTCGTTTCAAGTAGAAATACTGGATCGCGATATCAAATTTAATTGGGAATATTTACCGAATGTGAAGATTATACAGCTTAGAAACGATTTGAATTGGGTTCAATCGTAAAAATATGGGGTTGTCCAAAACGGATGCAGGAAAGTAAACGCATATTAAAACAAGAAAGATTGATATTCAAATCAAGTTGGGTACTTTATTTTGAAGGTTCATTTATACCATTTATGTATGAAAAATAATATCGCTCAAATGTTCACCACGACTGGATTTACAGACGTCCACGCGATGGTCGAAATTTTCAATGACATTTTGCAACATGGTCGGTTCTATGGCATTTATCTCGGCAATGATGTTGTTTTTGAGTTCTTGGAGGGTGGCTGGTTTGTTGACGCAGACTTTGCTTTTCAAATATCCCCATAAAAAGAAGTCCAAGGGAGTCAAATCGCGCGATCTTGGTGGCCATGGCACATTTCCTCTGCACGAATTCACGCGATCACCGAAGAAGGACTGCAATCGATGGATATTGACGTTGGTTGTGTGGCATGTTGCACCGTCTTGTTGGAAATAAACATCGTCCATATCCATTCCTTCAAGTTGCGGCAAAAAATAGTCCTCTATCATCACGTGATATCGCTCAGAATTTACGGTAACGGCGTCCCCGGCCCAATTTTCGAAAAAGTAAGGTCCGATGATGCCTTTTGACCACAATGCACACCACACAGTCACTTTTTGAGGATGCATCGGCTGCTCTTGATACTCACGGGGATTTTCGTTCGCCCAGATGCGGCAGTTTTGCTTGTTTACCGTCCCATTCAAAGTGAAATGCGCTTCGTCGCCGAACATGATTATTGATGAAAAATTGGCATCGATTTGGTGGTGTTCAAGGAGCCAATCTGAGATCGTTCGGCGCGAAAAATGGTCGGCCCGACGCAGCTCTTGCGTCAATTGGATCTTGTAGGCGTGTACATTCAAATCCTTGTGGAGAATGCGGAGCAAACTGGTTCTCGAAATGCCCAATTCTTGGGATCGACGCGTTGTTGATTGTTTCGGATCGTCTCTCACACTCTCCTTCACAACAGCAATATTTTCCGGCGTGCGAACGATCCTTGGCCGGCCAGAGCCTGGCAGATTTGCCACAGAACCTGTTGCCTCGAATTTACGCACCAGACGACCGACGGTTGTTTCGTTTGGGCGGTTGTTGCGACCGAAATGTTCACGAAGCGCGCGAAACGTGTTTTTTATTTTTGCACCATTTTTGTAGTGCTCTTGAATAAGTTTAATGCCGTCTTCAATCGAATACGACTCCATAGCGATCAATGGTAAACATTCAACTAACAAAATGACATGTCGGTGACAGAAAACAAAGATGGCGACTATGTCAAATTGACGTTTACTTTCCTGCGTCCCTATTGGACAACCCTTTATAATTTCCAGTATGAAAAATTTTTCAATACGGTTTCATTTCAATAAATAGCAAAAATGCTACTAGTTACTGAGAATGTGGAATAGACATTTCTGTATAGATCGACCAGCCAAAGATTGCTAGGGACGAAAGGGGGAAATGCGATGAAAAAACCTTACCATTAGACGATTTTATATGGAGTCATAGGCGGAGATCGGAGAGACTTGAATTATTAATTGAATTTATATTTTATTACAACTGGTAGTATTAATATTTTTTTGCGATTCATAATGACGTGATACCAAACATACATTATAAGAAATAAATATACACAAACACTGAATATTGAGAACAAAATAAATATATTTTTTAGGCAACAAGTAATATTCCTATGTACGCATTATGATTGAACAGCAAAACAAATTATGCATTCTTCTAAAATAGAATACAACAAGTCAAAAATATCTGACTGAATAGAAAAATATAGGAAAACAAAAAGTAATTTCTTGATGAAATAACCCATAAACAACACATAGAATTAGACTTTCTACTGAGATACTAAAAGCCACAAACCAATAGTATAATAAATGAATATCTAAAAATTCTAAAAGGTAGCCAATCTAGTATAGTTTCAATCCTGATTAGAGTCATGATCACTGTCTGAGGAACTGTCATTGCTATCACTTTCACCTCCTATGTTGATTATTATTTCTTCCTGTATTTCTTGAATGAGACTGTCTTTTTCCCAATATTCATCTTCAATTTTTATAACATGTCCAATAACCTTTTGCCAGTCACTGGCACTTACTGAAGCGATGGCCTTATTAGAAATTTCATCTAGTTTTTTTATAGTAAATTCGCCGCTTGTATTATGGCTTCTAATGAAAAATTTTACTTGTGCCCAAATCATCTCTATGGGATTAAACTGACACATATAGGGTGGCGTTCGAAGTGGGGTGTGTCCGAAACTTCTTATTAAATTATCTATCTTATAATTTTTCTCATCAGATGGTGGCCTATGTAGACAAGCTATTTCATAAAGCTCCATTTTTTTAGCATTAGGATCATGCTCTATACCTTTTTTGCTCAACCACTGCCTACGCCTATGGGAGTAGGTTTATAAATGACCGTGCCATCGGCACGTTATTCTAGTTTCAGATAAGATAAGAGTTTTGGACCAATCAGCGACCGGATGTTTACCTGCGGCCTGGGTTTTCCAGCTACATTGCCAAATTCAGCAGAACAATTCTATATCTTAAATATGTTAATATGTATGGACCGCATTTTATGTAGAACATCTGACAACTTCGCAATTTTTTGTCCGCATTCTTTCGGCTTGCAATCTTTCGCTGGTCCAACTATACTTATGCCTATACATTTAGAAATATCTCTAAAGCGCAGAAAATTGATATTTTCATGAGTTTGGCTTCGGCGAAATTTGTTAGCCAAATAAAACGATAAAAGTTACTACATAGTTAATAGTTAATCGGTAACCTTTCCTATCAAGGAATCGAGATTAAACGCTATACTGGTATCATGAAAAACTGACCTAAAATTCAGAAAAATCGCTTACTTTGAAAATGATTGAGCTTTTACATGGGCGCCTAGAGGAAATTTTCGAGGCGATCAGATCATTTTATAAAAATATGTACCTGCTCCCAAAACGCGCGCAGGCACCGTTAATGCGATCCGTATTTGAAGCAGTAGTAACACAACAGAGAATCTGAACTTTATCTTTAAGATTAAGAATCCCAAACTGCCTGAGTCTGAAGAGTTAACCAATTTGGGCACGGCGCTAAGTTGCTCTTTATTTTCATACGTTATAACAATCGGTGGACTTTCTTCTTTAGACTTGCGTGTATTTAAAGGTGGCAACAATTTGCAATCCTAGTGGACAGTTACAGTATCCGGTGGTACTTCGTTTTGGAAATCAAGCTTTATAGCTTCTGCGCGATCCTTTCGCTTTTCAGTACGAATCGCTTGAATGGAAAACTTGCTTATAGGACACCCGTCAACTGTTATGTCCAAATGACTCAATGAGCCATATTCATAAAACAAAACATTTTGAAGAAAATCCTCCAGATGGTATTTATAATAATTTGAAGCTTTTGCTTTTTGAGTACAAGCATATCCTTCAAAGCAGTGACATAAGTAAAAGGATATTCATAATCTTCACCAAATACTTGGCATAGGAAGCATATCCTTCAATAATTCTGAGTGTGGTCAGTAGCAGACTCAATTTCGTAACGAAAGGTGGTCAAACGATGATGGCGGAAATTGTGGACAATAGGGACGTTAAAACGTACAAACCTCGGTTACCTTCACTTGGTTGTGACTTCAAAAAATTGTATCGGTTCGACGAAGCAAATGTACAATGGCTTGCGGACAGATTTTTAGTCGAGAATGAGGAAACTCGAGAAGAAGCACTATCATGTATTCATAAAATGAAGATATGTCTACGCTATCTCGGTGGCCCTGGATATCAACAAGGTTTTGGTCAGGAACTGTGGATAGAGTTGTGAACAGCATAGTTGCACAGTCGAACGAATGGATCAAGTTTCCAACTACCAACCATGAACTGATGGAGGCCAAGCGGATACGGCAAAGCGTGTATAAATTTACGACAGCAATTGGTGTAATTGATTGTACACATATAGGAATCCTGAAACCAAATCGTCATGGAGAGAGAGAAACCTACTTTAAATGTGCAAGCCACTTGTGATGCCAAAGAGATGTTCACAAGTGTTGATGTCAGTTGGCCTGGATCAGTGTATGGTTCCAGAATATGGAGAAATTCACAGACTAGATCACAACTAATGAATAAAGCAAATGTTGTACTGCATGGCGATGACAGTTATGGTATTTAACCATGCAATATGACTCCCTTCAGAAATCCTATTCCAGGTGCAGAAATAAATTATAATAAGCTTTTAAAATAAGAAAGAGTTATGATTGAACGCTGTTTCGGCGAACTGAAACCTACTGTATGTTTGCCGAGTAAGGATGGAAAATGTGCCGAAAATAATTATTGCTTGTATTGTACTCCATAATGTTGCGAAGAGCTTGGGCGATCTTGACTTTGTGTTAGTTGAACTAGACCCAGATGAAGATGAAGGAAATCATGAGAATGACGAACTTCCTCTTCGCCAACTAGGTCAACAAATAAGAAGAAACTTGAGTATTATAATAAATATTTTTACTGATTAAAGTGTGTTTATGAGTTATAACAAGTTTTATTTTTATGAACATCATAAGTTACTGGTAGCTCCTGACGCTGCATCATTTCTAATTTCGTTTTATAATACTTGTTTGGTACTAGCACTAGACGTTGGAGTTCTTTTGCAGTTAACCCTTTGGTGTCCTCAGTTTCGTATTTCTCTGTTGCTAATTTTCTTTTTGGTGGCAATGTCTTCTGAATTGCAGGCGCTGTAATACTAACTGTTTGCTCACTGCGCTCGATATATAGTTCAGTTCCTTCTTACCAGTTTTTTTTAGATCTGTCTTTTCTTCAATCTTGATTTCATGTTGTTCATTTTTTTAATAAGCCTTTAGTATCTAATGGTTTACCGAATGTTGATTCGTATCTTTTCAACATCTTCTTCAAGGCATCGCCCTTTCTCATTTTTATTTTTGGAACTTGTGACTTTTGCAAAATAATGGGAGCAATGGTAATTTCATCTGCGATGAACTAGTCTGGAACAAGTCTGGACATGTCGCTCAAGATACAAATACCAGTGAACCTTTTGCTTCTTCTTGGAGGATATCCTCGCGAGTATATTATGAATATGAAAACAAGGATATGCTTCTACCTTCTTCTCCGAAGCAAGATCTTATACTTTTACCTTACGCTTCCGAAGATATGCTTCTCTTTTATAAATTCGGCTCAATGCTTGCTTCAATAATAAAAACAGCATTTTTCATACTTAGCTGACACCTATCCAGTGCTGCCACTAATTTTGGAATTACGAAACTTTTCCTCATTTGAGTTTGATCAGTGTCAGTTAAGGAAGCTGCAAGAAGATCCTATCTTCATTTTTTTTTGAAGGGCATCGGCATGCGCAATATCAAACAGTCCATGTTCAAACACTTGTTGCGTTTTGTTTGTTGTCTTGCAAATCTTTCCACTTGGTATAAGGTAACCAGTTTTTCAACGCAGTTAGGTAGAGATACGTGCCTTTGTCCAGCAATGTTGATTTGTTGCTTTACATCCCCTATTAAAAATATCCCCTTTTAGAACTGCGAAATTTCATCGACATGTTGACTGAACGAAAACAGAGCGTTTTCTAATAGAACAAACGAACACTGCAACACACCTAATGTGCAAGTTTTGACATGCTCCAACGCAATTCGACACGTGTCCTGGTTTTGGCTAAAAATATCCCCTTTTAGAACTGCGAAATTCCATCGACATGATGACTGAACGAAAACAGTGCGTTTTCTAATAGAACAAACGAACATCGCATCACACCTAATGTGCAAGTTTTGACATGATCCAACGCAATTCGACACGTGTCCTGGTTCAGGGTACATAAAACTTAATTTACAATTGCTTTGACGTTGCTTAAGCATCTCGTGGGACACGTGCATGCTCAGTCGGTTTCTAACCGTTGGAAACGTTACTTATACCATGCCTATTCTCCAATCTCGTACTTCTTTCTTCCAGAAGCTCACCGCGCGATGAGCCTCGCACCGAAACGAAGGCTCTAACGCCGCACCGCCGACATGCCGTTCGCGCAACGGCACGTGGAACCTCGCCTCGTGAGCCGAGTGCGACTTTTCGACGACGAAGGTCACCCGAAGGTCACCGATGGCGAGTTGGAAGCCGTCACGAACGGCACCCTTTGCAACGCCCTCCGGCAGTTGGCCTCCTTGGTCGCCGCTGCCGACTCTATTTTCGACGAGTTGGCCGATGAGTTGAAGCGGGTGCACGGGAGGTCGCAGGAGGTGAAGCGGAGGATCGATCAGCTGCAGCCCAAGGTCGACAGGGTCGATCCCAAGGCGGTCGCAGTTCGTAAGTACTTTTTCGTTTTATGTCACCTCGGAGGATGACCTCTGAGGTCGTTAAATGCATACACGTTTTATTTCAATAATTTTTTCAAGGTCATCCTGATTGTTTTAATAATAATTAAGCATTTTTTGCTCTAAGAACGTTAAAATACGTATTGAATGAAAACACCTGTTGAACATCTACTTGTCATCCCGCGTAAACTGTTTATCATGTCTTCAGTTGGTAGATGTGACCTCAGAGTGTGGTTCATTGTACTTTGATCTTTGAAACAATCGGTTGAGGTTTGGGCCGCACCTAAGGAAAAAGAAATAACAAGTAGTACCTTTAGGCATATCAAAACTGATTGCCAAATGATGGGTCTGTGGAGCTAAAGGAAACACGAATTCACAAGGCACACAAACATGGATTGAACAAAAAAGGAAATTAAAGGAAGCACTGGGAGACAAGCGAAAGGAAATTAGTTGGTGCTACCTCCCAGCTAAATGGTACAATCTTCGAACAATGAGGGGTTACGGAAATGGGGGACTGCTTCTCGTAGTCGTGAGTCTTACTTATAAATCGTTTCGGAGTGTTAATGCACGAAGTTCTTCTCAGATCGATGGTTAAGGTGTAGCTGCAACGACCACTAAAGGGCCCGACAACAAAATTCGATTCCTATCAAAATCTCCCACAACCCGGCAAATTTCCAGCACTGGGTGTGAAATTGTTTCACTAACGCAGGTTGTGGCCGTTGAACTGCTACACGAGAGCACCCGAATCACGTTCAGCTCTCGTATTTAAGACAAAAAAATATGAGTTTTAACCTTACAACGGCAATTCTATAACGAAACAATTCTCGTACGCCCTCTCTTGTCCAACATAAACATAAACCACATTCTGGCAATGACTTTTGAAGAGATGGGGAGTAGAGTACGATCTTCCACCAAAAAAACATTAGAACAAGAGTGTTTTACGATAAAAATTCGATATTTTTAAGAACTGTTATAACATTATTATTCTGAATAAGAAAAACGTTGTAATAGTTTACTTTATCGAGACATAGTTAATTTTAAGTCGACCGTAAAAAGAAACTGTAACATACTATTCTATTGTATATTCCCAGCTTAAATATTTAGCGCTATATTGGGGATAATCTGTTGATGCCCAATCTAGGTTATTCCTTCAAAAAAGATTAGTCAGACTCTTATTGTCATTGCATCCTCTAGATCTAGAGCGTTGTCGAAAAACATTTAGAGATAAAAAATACTAACTTTAGCCTCGTTACTCTTCCTAGAAACGTGCCTTCATGTGAAATCATGTCCTTCCAAATTCGCTTACCTGAAATAGTCCCAGAGATACAATCTACAAGGTTACATTGAATAACTATAGCCTCAGCACACTGTAACAGCCCCGACTATCTATGTGGATCTATCTTCAATAATTTGCCCGCCGAGTTAAAAGCCATTAACGGCTTCAAAGTCTTCATCTTTTAACATACTTGTATCCTCTACAGGAGTTGTATAATTTTTAATATACAGGGTGCGCATCGAAAACGAAACAGACGCATTTACGGGCAGCTCAGTTTTTTTTTTGAAAAACGATGGATTGGTAGAAGAGGTGCCATTGAATGGCCCCCAAGATTGCCAGATTTACCACCTTTGGATTTCTTTATGTGGGGTCATTTAAAAAGCAAACCAACCTTATTTTACACACAACCCTCGTAGGTACATACAGGTAGAATGTCCTTGCAGCTGGCACTCCGAAGTGAAAAAACGTTCGCAGCAACGCCATTTATAGACATATCAAATGACCAGCAGAGTTTCAATTGGTACCGCCGCGGGTTCCGCAGGTATTCGCATTCTTCGTAGATGTTTTCATTATTCAAATCGAGACGAAGCGTCGGATTCCCAGTACTGCGTTCTTTACGTTCAACCTGTTCCATGCCACCACGGGAGTACCAACAATATCAAGATGCTAACGTGGAGATGCGCGTTTTTATTTCCTACGGCATCGGTGAGGAAGTATTGTAATCGAAAATAAGATTGTATTTTGTTTTTTGGTTGTAATGACATTCGATTTCGCATGAACGCGTAGGAAGTATAGAGTCAATCTACTTGACGGCATCATCTTGTGTACAATTTTGAGGTACACTTTCCTAAAGAAATGTCACTTACCTATAATCTTTAAGCTTTACACACAAACCAATTTTGACGACGATCTCCACAGAGATTGATGAGTTCAACTGGGAGTTTTTGACATTACAATTTTTCGATAAGCCATTGTGAACTCTACACGAAGTTTACACATTCGATTGAGAAAGCAAAACGTACACATTGTGAACGTAACAACAGGTATTCCCGGCCACGCCTTGGACAAATAACTCGCCAGGTAAAACTGGTGGTGTTCTACCTGCCTCCGAAAAGTCGTACGCGGTGACATCGCACGGTTATTGTTCCTAGTCGGGACGTAGAATTTTGTACAGAACGAGGACGTCAAGCGGAACATCCTTTTAGTGTCATCCTCTTTAATGAGGATGAATTATTACAGGAAAGCGGAAAGGACCCTTTTTCAAGGCAGTTTCCAGGTCGTTTGTAAGCCACTTCCGAGAACAAGTCACAAAAGCACAGTTTTGGCGGTGAATGGCGAATGACCTCAAAATAAAAAGCGTGGGGTGCATTTTACTAAAGTTTCATAACTCTCCTCCCATAGATAGTTAATCTGAATTGAATTATTCTGTTAATAGCTTAAATTTTATTATAATTCTATTTTGAGGTCATTAATTTTTTTAAACAATTATTTATTTAACTTTAGGCAATTCAAAAATCGAATTAACAAAGTTTCTCATATATACCCGCGGTGCTCCGGTATTTACAGTATATTCAGATAAGAGATAGACCGGACATAAACAAGACCACGTGATGATCGAACGCTGTAACATTCGGCAGGGACGTATTAAGAGTCACGCAGTACATATTTTAGATAGTAGATGCTGCTTTGCGTAACTTTGTAGTAAATTAGCACAATTCGATGTGTATACGATTGGTGATGGATAAGGATCATGTGGGGGTGGGGTAAGAAATATAAATATACATAAGGGTTTCAAAATTTTCGCTTCGATTTCCAGCTTCGGATGCCGCCTGATGTTTGGTGAAATACAGTCGAATATAATCTCAAAATGGCGTTTAAATTAGCCTAAATTAAAAATAATCGTATATCTCTTAAAATTGCTTTTAGAATATTGATTAGTATATTTTTTGATTTCTAGGTAAATATGTAATCAAATTAAAACGTTCAAAACGTAAAAAAATGTGCATGGTTGAACATTATCAGAAAGTAGATTCTTGAATAGGTTTTGCCAAAATGGGTTCAAAAATGTCAATATTAATTAAAAAATACAGTAGCTTTATAATTACTTATAACTTACCGAATTTGATGAACGACATCTTTTATTGGAAAGATGAGCTTGATGAGCTTTCATCATCGCTACTGCCTGAAGCACCAACGTCAATAATGAATGGCTCGACTTGTTCCTCTAAAATATTGTCCAGTTCCCACATTCTCTTTTCAACTTTGTCTTTCACGTGCTTAATACAGTTTTCCCATTTTTGCGCTGTTATTAATTCTAGTGCTTCTTTGAAAAGTCCTTTGAGGTCACAAAATTTAAAAGTTGTATTGTGCTTAGCTATATAATTTTTAACCTCTGCCCATATGAACTCAATGGGATTGAGCTCGCAATGGTATGGAGGTAAACGGAGCACAGTTTTATTTTGACTTGCTGCCATTTCGTCAATGGCGTATTTTTGATATTCCGCCTTGTGATCCTTGACAATTCTTAATAATTGTACTTTCAGCATTGCTTCTTCAAAGTTGATATTTTTCGAACGGAGCCAATTTTGAACATCAACTTTCCTTGAAGCCGTTGTTGGGACCTTCTCCATTCTTCGAGAATGATAAGGCGCATTATCCAACACAATTACTGCGTTTTCCTCGGTAAAATTTTTGAAAACCACTGTTCAAACGATTCGCCATTCATTTCCTCGTGGTAATCTCCAGTTTTCTTAGACTCAAAGCACCACAGACCGTCAACAACAAATCCATCCTCACTGCCAATATGGCAGATAATGAGCCTTTTCCCTTTACCTGGAAATCGAAGTACTAACTGGTGTAGATTTATTTCAATAAGCGAACCTTTTTCAAATGTTTTCATCACATTCAGCGAAAAAACATTGAGACATGAGTATCAGATTGCTATAATTGGGATTATTTAGTCATATTGAAAGAAAGAATATTAAACGTCGTATGATTACTCAGCGCTTCACAATTTAATTTGAAGTTATAAACCTTTAAAAAATGAATGATCAGGACCTGAAATACGCGCAAATATTAATATTAACAAATTATAACTTTATAAAGCTCAAAGTATGAATTAAAATGATTAGAAATATTAGGAACGGTACACAATATAAAACTTAGTAACTTTTTTTAAGTTTATAATATTCGACATATTTTAAGATTATATTAAAAAATTATTGAAATATCGAAAACACATAAAAACATGGCTTAAAAAAGTTCTAACAAATGAAAATGACAATAAAACATCCACGCATTTTATCGAAAGTTATAAAAGTTTTGTTACTTGTAATATGTTTTATCTGCCTCCTGGAATTAATATTTAGATTTAGAACCTTGTTCCCAAGGTTTGAAAAACTTCCGATTGTTGTCTATTACTCGTAGTTACCTGCTGGATTTTTTAATCCGGTGGACAGTCCATCTAGAAAGGCCCTCCTGGATGAAGTTACAGAATCATCAACCCATACTTTACTTGTAGTGTGTCCTGCGTTTACCCACGTTTCATCAAGGTAATAAATCTTCCTGTTTTGATTTCTATATTTCCCAATTTTTGTTAAATAATCCCTCCTCCATAGCACAATTTCTTCTCTATCCAGTAGTAAACTATTACGACCCCGTTTTTTCCATTTGAAATTTAAATGCTTCAGTAACGCATGGAAAGTTGATCGTTTGAA